TTTATAATTTGGAGATGACCGTAGGGTTTCTCCACTAGCAAAGATGTCCATGCATGTTGTGTTGGAGAATTCAAACCAAACCTTTCCAGGACACTTTATCCTTCTGGGACTCTCTAACATTTTGGACCTTCAGGTTGTCTTTTTCTTGCTGCTTCTAATGTTATACATGGTGACATTATCAGGAAATATTTTACTAGTCTTCATGGTAAGGGTTAACCCTCGCCTTCAGACCCCGATGTACTTTTTCCTGACCAACCTTGCCATCATTGACATTTGCTTTTCCTCAACCGTGGTGCCCAAAATTTTGGTTAACACCATATCACCAGACAGAAGCATTTCCTTCTTGGGATGTGCAACCCAACTGTACTTCCATCTGGCCCTGGGTGGTACGGAATGTTTAATATTGGCGGCTATGGCTTTTGACAGGTACAATGCCATCTGTAAACCGTTACAATACATCATGATCATGGACCACAAACTGTGTCTTTGTCTGGCTGCTGGATCTTGGACTTTGAGCTTCCTCATAGCGGTAATTCTGACAATGGTCACTTTTGACTTGCCCTACTGTAAAGCCAACCAGATCAATCATTTTTTCTGCGAGATGCCCCCCATGCTTCATCTGTCCTGTGCCGATATTTGGTTCAGCGTGGTTGTTGAGTGCACTTCAGTTGTGTTAGTTGTTGCAGGCTCTTTTCTACTCATACTTATATCCTATTTCTTCATCACCCTGACTATCTTAAATATAACTTCCACCAAACAACGGCAAAAAGCTTTCTCTACTTGCGCCTCTCACCTTGCTGTGGTCCTCCTGTTCTACGGAACGGCACTCTTCATGCACCTACGTCCTCCTTCTAGTTACTTCCCAGAGCAGGATAAGATTGTGTCTGTCTTCTATACAGTGGTGACACCAGTGATGAATCCCATCATCTACAGTATACGAAATAAGGAAATCAAAGCGGCCATTAGGAAATCAATGGCTGTCGTAGTTTGTCAATAATCCTTTTTTCCTTTGTATTACCAAGTACACGGCATGGCCAGGGCCGGATTTACTCTCTCTGCTGCCCCAAGGCCAGGTTCCTCAATGCCGCCCCCCTACTCGCCAACCCCCCCATGTAGAATGGCAGCCCAGCAGGCTGTATACAAGTGATCTCGATGATAACGCCGGGATCACTTATACAAAGCAAGCAGCGGCTTCCCCGCTGTACATTTAGCTCTGCTTGCCCAGAGCAGGGCTAAATATAGAAAACAACTACCCGCCTGGCGCCCGGAACTGCATCTCCCGGGCATCGAGAGATAGGAATTCCACACCCCTGCTGCCCCTCTACTCCCTGCTGCCCCAAGGCCGGGCCTTGGTTGGCCTTGTGGGAAATCCGGCCCTGGGCATGGCATTGGTTTACCTAAAGCAAATATACTGTTCACTTTGCAGGAGAATTTACACATGCAAGTCAAATAAAACAGTATTTTTGCTTGCACATGATTAGATGTTGGAAGTCAGCAGAACTGTACCTCATTCACTAACCTAAGGGAAACATTTCCTTTCAAAGTGAACAGCCTATTTTTTACTTTAATATATTAACTACTATAACGCAATACAACAAATACTTTTATGTGTTGTTGGGCAGAAATATATAGGATAAATGAGCTATTACACATTATATATATACTGAGCCTTGCCTTGGGAAAGCAGGACAGCAGGATCTAAGCTTCACACTTGTAGAGTATGGAGTAACTTATAATGACTTTTGCCCAATTAATTTGGCCACCCATATGTGTGCTCCCTCCATGCAGGCTGGAGGGAGCAATTCTTCAGTCTCCCATCCTGCATTACTTAGACTGTACCTTACCTAAAAGTGGCCAGAAGAGTCTTATGGGAAGAAGTCTTAAGGGTAAAGATGGCCAGATGGGGGTGGTTCTGCAGGGGTAGGGGGAGCCTTGGCAGGTGATGGTCTTGACAGCTATTCCAAATATGGGTAGTGTAAAGGGCTGTGGATAAGAGAGGTCACAGAGCAATTGCAAATGAAGGTGGGCAGAAATGACCAGAAGGAAATAGACTAGTGGCTTAGGGTGGCCAGAAGAGGGTCAGGTACATGTGGTTCTGTGAGCTATTCAAAGACAAGAGAATTCATATTTACATTGACATTAGGTATGCTTCCGGGGTAGCCCAAATACTGATGTACAAGCCTTTCAATATCTGATAGAGAAAGTTTACTTTGACTTTATCCTAACACCATTCAGAGCAAGATGACATTCTGCAGTCATTGCAAAGAATTCTTCTATCTGGATGGCCGGAACACAAGGAAAATACACCAGCCTGATGTTTAGGAGAGGCTGAATATGATGCAAACAGTGTTGGAGTAATAATTAACCATCTGAGGACAAACATTCCCATCATTCCTTCCGAGTTCAAAGTCCCAACAGCGTTCATTTCACAGGAAGAGTCTGGAGAAGAAGGTGAGCGCGATATGTCTGGATATCATTTTTCTCTATTGAGTTGAGAGTTTCCATTTTTGGGGAAGCAAGAAAACTTAATGATTTTTATTTGATCCAATATCATTAATGGTAACAGTTCTGATATCTGCTTACATCTTCTTTCCTTTCGGACCATTAACCCCCTCAGTACCGACTTATTACACCCCCTTCCTGTCCAGATCATTTTTCAGGTTTCAGCACTGTGGTACTTTGACCAACATTTTTTTTAATGCAATTAAATGAACCCTGATGCTCTAACCATCACATGTTTTGAGGCCCTGAAGTACAGGACAGTAGAAACACCCAGAAAATGACCCCTTTTTTGGAAAGTAGAGAGCACATGGTCAGGGCCAGATTTACTCTCCCTGCTGCCCCACGGCCAGGTTCCGCAATGCACCCGCCCCCCATGGAGAATGGCAACCAGATGGCAGGGCGGCAGGGTTAGTTTTAATTTTTTTATTGTTTCTTCATTTATTTTTTACTTATCGCTTTTTTATTTTCATTTATTTTTTTACTTTAAAAAAAATTCTAATCTTGTTGTTTCCTTTTTTTATTTTTTATATTTTTTTATCTTATTATTGATTATTTTTTATTTTAATTATTTTCTTTGTTTCTTCTT